ACATATAAATTAATTGTTGGATGATTGTCTCCTTAGTTTACGAATAAAGTCTAAAAAGACTTATATTTTGAAATGGAGGGAACACAGAATTAAATAAAAGGGATTATTTAAGGTTTTGTCACTTGCATGAGTATGGAAGGCCGAAAAAGTAGTTGACCATTCAAATTTATATCAATGGTACCCTTATCCAACAATGAATCAATGATACTACTACCAAGTTTGGTTCAGACCTTGGAACCACCAATTATAGCCGCAAAAGGCTTCTTGGGTTGGGGTACTACTAAATAATCTAGTTCCTGAGTTCGAGAAAAAAAGGAAATATACACATTAGATAAAGTTACAAGCCAAGCTAAGTTAATGATTGGAAAAGGAGATGGAGCTGGAAAAGGAGATTGAGCTTCCTCCATATATGAGACTAGACCAGATTAAACAACAATCTCCTTTTCATGGCCGGATTGTTTAATCATCTATATTCCAACCTCTCATTCAAAGTGACGACTGCCTGACTAACCCTCTCTATTAAAAATCCGGCCATGGAATCGTGGGCAGTTCCTAGTGCATTGTTAACATACAAGTCCGCGATAGAAGCAAATCTCTTGGCAAATTCAGGGTCATTCTTTTCCTCCTCCTTAAAGATTAGGGCGTTCTCAAGGAGCAAAACACATTCGTTTTGCAGAAGATCCATGTTTTTGTTGACTAGTTCATTAGCACGTTTAACATTAACCTATTGCATTAACAAGCCGTAAGGAGCGAAATTTACATTTCTCCCAAGAACAATGCCACCAACATAAGTAACTTAAAAACCAATTTCAGAGCAAATCAAATCAGACAAACAACTTCTGACTTTAATAAAATCATCAGGACTCGCTAGATCAGGCACTAGGGACCTCAACCAGTAAGTTGGGGTGACACATTTTGGGTGTCCCTGTCACCAACAACAATAAACAGCAGAGTCTCATTGAGTTAATAAGATAGTGAATGGTTTTGTTTAGGAGGTTGAGTGTTCGATTCTTGCTAGAATTACCTAAGAAATAAATTTCATGTATACATCAATTTAGACTACATGCATTTTTTTTCCACAAAGAAGATAGTAATTTTTATTAGCTTCCTTTGTGGTTGAACCCTTTTTGTGCTAGGGGTAGAAGTCTAATCCTCGAACCTCAATGATACCGCCCAACCATTATCCACAACTTGGTTCGTTTCATTTTATGATACACATTACAAACACAACTTGGTTAAAAAAACACAGAGTTGATCGATGCATTTTTTTACTTTCGTTTTTTCAGATAATTTTTCGCTCAATGTTTTCATGCATAGACCCAATCGGTTGCCAATACGTAACTCTATCGTCCCATTTTAATAGACCATATCGTTGTATTATTTTAGTTCAAAAACACGAACTCTTAAAATTGGAAAAAAGGTCAGTGTCTGTTGAAATAAAATTATGTGAATGCTTCTCTTCTTTGGAGTTTCTTGGATAAAATGTAACTTTTTCTCCGGTTAAATTGTGCAGATTGGTAATGCTAGGTAACGGTTAATGATTTTATGAAACTATGTTCACCAATGAAAGTTCGAACAGATTTTGGGACGATCTTTTGAGGCTTGTGAGTGACCAAATAATGAGTATCCCCATTCCCTCTGATCATCAACTAAATTTATTGATTAGGCTTCCCCTAGAAGAATAAGTCACATTACGATTTGTTCACTAGTATTGTATTTTTTTTCAATATGATTAAAAATTTACAACGCGGATTTTTTTATGGGAGAAAGTTGTATCACCTAAAAATAAAATCAATGAACAATAAAAGAAATTTAATAATAAGTTCGTTATGATCCAAAGGTTAAATTACTACATATCGATCTCTATTAATAAGTTCGTTCTGATCCAAAGGTTTACTACATATCGATCTCTATTAATAAGTTCGTTATGATCCAAAGGTTAACTTACTACATATCAATCTCAAAAAAAAAAGTCGACGATTAAATTACTAAAAGTATCTCCAACCATTGTACTATAATTTACATTAAATTTGGTATAAAAATGAATATTCTAAGTATCTTTATGTACCAAAGTTTTTTGCACTCCAACCTTAATGCACAAAAAAGAGATATTAGATATTTTAGTTTGAATTTTATTTTAATAGTTGATTAAAGTCTTATAATTTGGTACAGTTCATTTCTTAATTTCTATTTATTTGATTCTAGAAATATGAAGGTTTTCTAATTTTTTACATATTTAATTTTAACTAGATGCTTGGTCCGGACAGATGCTCGGGCGCCCCCTCTAAATTACTATTTTATTAAAATCTAATTGAATTACTATTTTTTGAGGAATTAATTTGGCGTATATATCATTTATGCTATGGTTTGGGGCTTAAAAAAATAAACCTATAAATCTGAGGTTATAAGGGAATAATAAATAATTAGTTTATAAGGCATTATTCTTAATTGCTGGATTTAGGTATTTTTATTTTTTGTTTATATTAAGCCTGCAAAACTATACGATTGGACATTTGAATTTGAATTAATATATCCATTCATTTGAAATGTAACTGATCCTTATTTGTAGTAAAACATGTGTTTTTTTTAAAAAAAAAATTATATAGCTTCTAATTAAAAGAGACTTACACGTGGCAAAAAGACTTCTGAAATCTGAAATATGGTGCATTAGAGCCAAAACAGATGCATACGTACATGTCTTCTGCTTTAATAGGGTAAAAAAGGATAATTACTAAAAATAAATTTTATTTTTTAAAAATAAAATTTTATATTTAATATGGGTCTTATTTTGTAGATATCAAAAAGATATTTAATATGATATAACTTTCACTATATAATTCATTTTATAAGTTTAACAATCTAACAAGCATGTATTTTGATCAAATTAAAAATATAGTACACCTAAGATAGTGTAATTGATAATGTATATTAAATTCAGTAAACAGTATTCATTAAAAAAGATAGTACACTGATTTAGTATTTTGTTGGAGTGTAACTTTTACACCAAAACATCAAATTTTTGTGTTTTAGTGTTTTGGTTGGCGATGCTCTAACTCTAAAAATCATCTCAAAAAGAAGTTACCGATAATCTCTTTCGGGCGGAAAGAAAAGGAACATGAAAAAGGTTGGGTTATGTAAATGGGCTATCCTGTCCTTAATGCTAAAAATAATTACACTGATCCATTAGGCTTAGCACAATTTATCCAAATCTGTTGCATTTCAGATTAGCCCAAAGCAAATTGCGGTTCTGGGCTGATACAAGTAAAAAATTACTGATCCTTCCTGCCCTATAAAAGTTTGTTTCAATTCAACCACCGTAGTAGTACTATTACAAGAAAATAATATCGATCAAGTAAAAATTATTTCAAAATAAATGAATCAAGTAAAAGTAACAAATCTGGAGAATTTTTAGGATGCTTTTTCACTTTTAAGATTTTATAATTTTTAATTTCTTAGGCATCTATTGCTTGTCTATTGGAAAAGTTTAAAAGAAAAGCACCGTCAAAATTATGATATACTTGTGACAAGATAAAATATGAATAGAATCTCAAAGTAGACATTGGAGGGTTCCGGTTTGCTTCTTTGGACATAATCTGAAACGTTTGATTTCATTAGGGATGTCAAAATAACTGAATTCCTCTGATCTTAAAGTTTTGGTTTGAAATGTTTTTGCAGCGTTTAATATTTTAATTCTTCCAAAAATACATGAAGTAAGTGAGTCCAAAAATGATAACGTGTCCAAACATCTGAGTGTAACAAAACATGATTCCGAATGATTAGAGAGGCAAAATTAGGCCAAACGAGAATGCACTGAACACGTTAATATCCTCAATTGAATTGATTTAGTTTGTTGGTTTGTGGGTCGATGAAATGTTGGAATCGCATTTCGACCCTTTTTTTTTTTTTTTGGTAGAATTCAGGAAAACCTTCCAAAATAGAGCATGTCAAAATGTCAGCCAATTGACACAATTTTAATACTTGAATGAGATAACATTCATCATCCGAACTTAGCTTTCTGTTTTTTTCTCATTTTTATTTTCTTTGGCTATCAGTAAACTGCCAAACAAAAAAACACCCCCATCCAAAAAATGTTTGGCTCACATCACATTCCCTAATGAATGCATGTCCAGACTTTTTACCTGATTCTGTTTTGTGGATGGCAATGCTTTGTTAATACTACGCCATTCCTTTCTATAGGGACTTTTTCATTTTACCCAACCAAAAAAAAAAATTGCAAGCAAAGTTGCTTTTATGTCCCTTCTAAACAGTAAAATTTTTACTTTAACAACCGATCATGAAAGGCATTACTATATTTTTCAATTAAAACATTTCTAAAGTATCTTTTCGAATTTATTATCACTTATGACTAATGCATAATCGGGCAAGGGGGTATAGTAAAAAGTAACCATTAATTAGTGATCCAAAGTATATATAAATTTAGATATTCACCTACTAAATACAATCCAACGACATTTATAAACTCATCGCGAAATATAAAATTTACCTAATTATCCGAGACGACCGAAGGAAAAACACAGTATATTCTGATCACCTCTCATATTATTTTAAGTCGAATGCCTTTTTTATATTCCGATCACCTCTCACGTTATTTTAACTCGGAGATCCACTTTTCTTCATCATTATAAGGGTGTCAAACACATTCTTCGTAGGTGTTGTCGATCACATGATCATCAAAAAACAAAACAACGCATATGATCATATTGTCCTCCCATGATCAAGAAAAAGAAAAACAAATCCTAGAACCAAAAGAGAACAAACAAACACTACAAGGAAATGGGACTACAGAAAGATTCCATAGATCGCAATGTATCTAATCACAAATTCCCCTCCCAACCCAACCCACGTAAAAAAGCACATGGCCAAATGGGTATGTTGACCTGTAAAGCCGTATTTTTAAGACCCTTCAACCGCGTTTGTTCGTCGATTTAAGACTCCACCATGACCAACTCTTCAAGCTAAGCTATAATAATCTAAAATAAATTAGATAAAAAAAAATGACACAAAAAAAGGAAGAAAAGAAAAGACAATTGACCGTTATTCCAGTTAATACTAATAAACAAAAGTACCATCCAATTTTCTTACTACTAATAACTAATATAAACTTACATTTGTTTGTTGTAATAATGCCTTCGAAGAAACGCGGCTGTTTTTTTATATATTTTTGTAATAAGAAAAAAAATACCCCAAATTTGGCTTTAGCAATCCAAAAGAATAAGGCTTTAGGAGGTTTGTTGTTTGAGGTTGCCCCTCCTCCTTCTTCTATCTATATACCCCAACTTGTTGTTTGTTCTTCTTCTTCTTTGTGCGTAAACCCTAACAAATTCTCTTCAATTTGTGTGTGATTCCCATTTTTTGGTTTATAGTGTAACATTGCCAATTCAAGCAAAAAAAGGGGGAATTTTTTTTAACGAGCTGCCCACTTGATAATAAAAACTGTTTCGGTTTGGTGGGTTTTTGTTTACTTTTCTTGATGAAACACACCTCCCCTTCCTCCTCCTCCTGAGATATCCTAATTCTAAACACCAAAGCTGTCAGCATAGATTCCTAAATTCACATTAGCGTTTTGGCCCTTTTCTTCGTTTGCTTGAGTTAGCACAAAACAAAACAATTCCGTGCAAGCAAAACAAGTGAGAATTTTGTGGAGTGAAGGGAAAGGATGGTGGAGGCAGGGGATAATAATTATAATAAGGATAAAGAAGAAGAAGGTGGGATTGGAGAGAATCATTCTTCTGAGCAGAGGATCGTGATGATGGTAGATAAGAGGTATGGAGATGGGGTTGCATGGAATAGGGGTGCAATGCTTGGTAAAGGAAGTTTTGGGTCTGTTTATTTGGCGACTTTGAAGAAGCCCAGATCAATGTTTGGGTGGCTGCCATCAGTTATGGCTGTGAAATCAGCTGAGGTTTCTGTTTCTGGCTCAATTCAGAAGGAAATGGAAGTCCTGAGCAATGTTAAGGGCTGCCCTAATATAATTCAATGCTATGGCGAGGAGACAACTACGGGGGATAATGGCGTGATGGTGTACAATTTGTTGCTGGAGTATGGCTCTGGTGGAACCCTAGCTGAAAAGATCAAGAAAGCAGGGGATAAGGGATTGCCTGAATTTGAGGTAAAGTCTTATGCTAAATCCATTCTTAAAGGGCTTAATTTTATTCACAATCTAGGTTATGTTCATTGTGATTTGAAGCCCGACAATGTTTTGCTTGTGCCTAAGAACGTTGGTGATGGTTGTGCTGCTGAGTTTAGGGCAAAGTTAGGTGATTTTGGTTTAGCTAAGAGGGTTTCAAAACAGTGCAGTAAGAAGAGGAAATTGGAGGAGCCGTATTGGAGGGGAACCCCAATGTACCTATCTCCTGAGGTTGTTGGGGATGGTGTTCAAGAACTTCCTAGTGATATATGGGCTTTCGGATGCATTGTTTTAGAAATGTTGACTGGTAAGCCTCCTTGGGGATCAAAAGAGGAGATGAATTCAGAGGAAATAATGGACAAGATAGGGAAGGAATTGCCTCAAATTCCGAATTGGATATCTAAGGAGGCGAAATCGTTTCTAAAAGGTTGTTTTGTGAAGAAGGCTATGTTTAGACTGACAGCTGAGATGTTACTGAATCATTCATTTTTAGAAGGGCTGAATGAGGTAGATGATGCTTTTGCGGAAACAGAGGTAATTGAGGATATCATTGATATAGAGTCTATATTGGTGGTGTCCGAAACTGATGATGAGATCAGTTGTGAATCTCTTTCTGATGATGACAGCTTTGCATCAGAAGATTGTTCATTTTCTTATTGGTCTGAAGAAGATGGAGAGGATATCGAGGATGAGGTTGTATCTCACTATCGGCATGTGAAGAAACTGAAAGTGGAAGTGACTGATGGCAAAACGAACGCCAATGTAGATGGTTTTGATCATATGCGAGCACCCCTTCAAGTGTTATCGCCAATTCCTCCTAAGACAGCGCAACATTATCCAGTTAGTTTTAGAGTTCCTGCAGGAGTTTAGAGACTTATTGACTAGAATACGGGATCAATTTTGCTAGCTTAGTCACCTCCCTTGATTCTTTGTAGGACATACCTCATGTATGTATGACCACAGAGTAGATTAATTATATGGTGCATTTATAGTTGTTCAATTTACAGTCTGTTTAAAGTGTGGCAAATTGCCATTCATTCTCTCTGTACTTATGCTAAGCAATACAAGAACCCTTTTGATTGAAGTGCTTGGATTTGATTACGCAATCAGATGTTTCCTTTAATGCTTTAGCATTTATATTTTAGGAAAGTCTGCTATGGTGTTTATCAGCTAATCTTTCTATCTTCATGCAGGCAATTTGAAATCTACTTCTAGTCCTTAACAGGAATTTGCAGATGTCATTTCGATGCCCTTTTGAATGAGAACTTCTCTAATAAAGACTGAGGATCCTATAAATTGATCAAGCGCCTGTTTTTGACAAACGGTTGGAGTTTCCAGGAAGCTTAATTGACCTCTGTTCAAATGGCAGTTCTCACATCTGAATAATATGACATGCAGATTGTTTGGTTTCTTGCATAAAGCATTACTTATAACTGAATTTGTGATTTTAGCCTGAATTCATTCTTCTCATATCAGTTACTAATCGAAAACATAACCATTCTCCTTTCAATGGTGATGCAGAGACTAATACGACAACACAGTCAATCTAGAGATGATCATTCCAGGCAGAAACAAGAGGGCATATCTCTTTTTGATCTTCCTTAAGTCTTTGCAAACTCTGGAGCCAAACATGGAAAAGAAAGAGCATGGAACAGAGAATCTGCTTCTTTTTGACTTGACCATTGACGTGGTAGAATCTATTGTCTGCTCCAGAATGCTCAAGCAAAGAGCAAAAGCAAGCATAAGAACATGGAATCTGCTTCCTGTTGACTTGGTCAGAGGCCTTTCTAGCAATCCTAAAAGCTCCCTTTCATCCAGCATCTTTCATTTGAATGTAAATAACGAAGTACTTACTGGAATTCAATCAGACCAGTAACTATCTGCACTATCTGCCACCATTCTCAAACATGCAAATTCGAAATGAAGCTCAACAGGTGTATATATTGGAGAACCTGATGATCATCTTTTTGTAAACTCGCCTCTAAAGTAAACTATTCTGTTGAAATGCATTCCTCGTTTTACTCCAACCTTACACAGTTCGAAGCTCTTGAGCTAGGAGATACTAGACTTTTCAGCATCATACCATTTTGAGTTATCTTACTTCCAGAAGCTTCATTATCTGATCATGTCACGGTAACTTTTTGCGTTCCACACATAAGAGCTGTCGGCAGATGACAGTGTTCAGGGAAACCTCCAAAGCAGTAAGCTAGACTGGCAGTAATCTGTTGTCTGCAGCATTTATCACTCAAGAAACCACCTTTCAGGTATTGATGTAGGCAAGATGTTACAAATCATTAGTGTTTGAATACGATGACTTAAAACCTTAAAAAGATTTCTGAATGACATCAGTCATTGAGCTTCCAAAGATCATTTGATGGTACTAAGAGACAAATTTGATGAATACAGATTCAGCCATGACTGTGTTCCTTAATTCAACAAAACTTTCTGCAGCCACACTCTATTTGATTCCAAATTGTGCTAACCGATCTCAAGTTATTAGGAAGGAATCTGCAGAAAGAAGAGACATTAGTCTGTTGGTTTTTCTAATTCTAAACTGTACTAGCCATCACATATTAGTTGAACTATCACGTTGAGAAATTTACTTGTTATGGTTCACTTGTGAATATTTATAAAATTTCATTACTCAAAATGACAGCATACAACTTGCTAAAAAGACACAGTATGGAACAAAAAAGAATGATGCATCTAATTCCGCCCCAGAGTAATAATGGCTGGCAGATTAGATTATTTTGCAACCACAAAAATCTGTGGGATCAAATAAAGATTAACCTCTTGGGCTTCTTTCATGTATAATGGATTTCTGGACTGAAATTGTTGCCTATCCACTTTTTATAGATTGTTTAACCATATTGAAACACACACACACACACACACACACTGACACACATATTGAAATATTATGTTTGGAGTATGGACGGATTCGTTGACAAATCATTTCGATCGAAATGATCCATATCAGTTTTTGTTTTCCTTTTTTTCTTTTTTATTTTCGTCGGATTTTAGATTAAATCTGAATTGGTATGCCAAATGTTTTCTGCCTTTTTTTGGCACTTGTCCATACAAAATGCGCTTAAAATAACTACTACGGAAACCAACCTCTTAAAAAAAATTTGATATCATGTTTCACGTTTCAACTATGCAGTCCGTTTCTGCTATCTTCCAAACAATTTAAATACACAAGAAAAAAAAAAATAATGCTACATTTCCCTGGCGTCTCTTAAAAAAATTTGATATCATATTTCCTATGAGATTTATTGTGTTATTTCCTTTTGCCAATATATATTGTACTTTTAACTCCAGAAATATGGACGTGCCAATTTCTTTTATATTACTCTTATTTCGCAAAACAAGAAAACACCATAATGGAAACAAAGGGTCACATTTATGTAAATACAAATTGACTAGCTTTTGGTTTTAGGCAAATTGATTTGATCCAGAATCGATAGTTATGATTTCTTCCGTACCACAAGTTGTTCGAGTAACAAAGTCAATGATTCTTTTCACTAAGTTGTGAGTACCTCAAAATTATCATATTTCTAAATATCACATAAGTTTTTTTTACCAAAAATCATATCGCATGCATTATAATTTTTTGAGAATATTTGTACATAATTTTGATGGTCATTCCTTTTATTTTTTTGTGGACATATATCCACTTTAAGTTTTATGGTTTTGCAAAATGTTGTACTCCTATAACATCCCTTTCATGTGATTTTTTAATTTAACAAAGTAGATTAATTTTTTTTTCCAAACCAATGAAATTTTATTTTATTTTTTTTTATTGCAGCCAGTATTTTACATTGCAGAAGCAGATTCATCACTATTATCAGTACGTATCAAAACAAACGTGGACAACAAAATTTGAAATAATATGGCTATTTTTAGTTTGTAACATTTTTACAATCAGGCTGAGGTACAATAATACTAAAAAAGTTTGTACTTTTTACATGTAGCCATGTACCGTGTTACAACTACAACAATATAATAAGTTGTGAAGTTGTACTTTGCAATGACGTTTTTATAATCAGGTTGAGGCACTGTAATACACATTTTAGCCAACTTAATTTACGAACTACTTGTCACCCCGTGATATTATTAACAATTTCATACAAACCCATCGTCAACCGGACAGATAGATGTATAAATAAATTGATCTTCCAGCACAAATTCATCAACTTCCATCTATTCAATTTTTAAGGAACAAACTTTGCATAAGTTTCCAGTTATATTATGGAGGTCGATATTGCTCTAGCCATTTCTGTCTTGTTTGTTCTTTTCTCTTTCGTAGTTTCAATTTTCCTTTCCCCCTTGTTAAAGGAATGAAAGAAAAAAAATGGTTTCATGTTTCTTTGTTCTACGTGGATAGATGGAGACTCTTGAACTCCACATATATACTCCATGCACTATTTTACTCATTGCCAATTGGTGATGGAGACTCTTGAACTTAACATATCTATCCCATGTGCTACTCCTCTCATTGCTAATTGGTTTTGAGGTGGAACCACATGTGGGTTTATTTGGGCTTTCAAGATGGTATCGGGGCGGGTTTTAATCCGCGAACCTGTGGGACTTGTGGAGCGAGGTGGACTGACCCAGATTAGGTCTTGAAACTTTGACCAACCCACGGAAGAAATCCGGAGTTTGGCTTTGAACTTTGACTAACCCGGTAGGCGACGGTTTATCCGAAAAACTAATCGATCGCAAGGCTAAAATTTTTTTTAAAAAAAATGTATAAAATTACCCGTCCAAGCCCATTGGACTTGAGAGGGGTGTGTTAAATGAATGAAAGAAAGAAAATGGCCTCATGTTCCCTAGTCCCACATGGATGGATGGAGACTCTTGAACTCAACATATATACACCATGCGCTACTCCCCTCATTGCCAATTGGTTTTGAGGTGAAACCACATGTGGGCTTATTTTGGACTTTCAAGACCCCTCAACAACTCCGATGACAACAATCAGCTCAAGCTTCTACCTAGAAATTTCAGCTGGCCGGTCATCAGCGAATTGGTGAATTTCTTATCCAGAAAGCAAGAAAACTTTGTCGGAGAAAGGATGAGGAAGTATTCCCCAGAAATCTTTAAGACCAAAATCCTGGGAGAGAAAACCGTAGTCATCTGTGCTCTAAATGGCAATAAATTCCTCTTCTCTGACGAGCAAATTCTGTTTACTAATTGGAGAGGAAATTAGGCATAACTAAAGGAGTTGCTCCAATTGGAAGATTTATGGTCTCATATGATCCTGATTACTGATCCGACCCGAAAATCCATGCCGGAAGCCGTGATCGCTAATAAGATCATGGGAATGGTTGTTGGTGGTTATCATACCGTTATTACTACCATAACATTCCTCATGAAATACATCGGGAAAAGTCTTGAAGGCTCATATAAGCCCACATGTGGTTCCACCTCAAAATCAATTGGCAATGAGGGAAATAGCACATGGGATATATATGTTGATCAAGTAGGCTTCCCAACTCTAATATGGGACAAGTGTCTTTCACTTATTTTCAAGGTCAAATGGAGAATTTAACACCCCCTCTTAAGCCCAAAGGGGTTGGACAAGGCCCCTTTGAACATCCAAAGCTCAATACGGGTAAATCAAAGTCCTCAGATATACTGCCAGACCAGTCAAAGCCCAATATGGATAAAGTCAAAAGTCCTCAGATATACTACTGGGTCAGTCAAAGCCCAGTACAGGTAAAGTCAAACCAGAGAAACCGCCGGATCGGTCAAAGTCCATCCACAAAGTTCGCGGATTAAAACCCTCTTTGATACTATCTTGAAGGCCCATATAAGCCCACATGTGGTTCCACCTTAAAATCAATTGGCAATGAGGGGAGTAGCATATGCGGTATATATGTTGATCAAATAGGCTTCCCAACTCCAATGTGGGACAAGTGTCTTTCACTTGTTTTTTAAGTTTAAAGGGGTTTTAACAGAAAGGCCTGATATCTTCCACAAACTTAGACAAGGTGAATTACTCCTCTGTTACTCGTGCCTCTGTCACAAAATAATTGTCCAGTTTTGATTTTTATTTCTGAAGACAAATTATCCTAAAAATGAATATCCCAAATTGGACTATTGTATTTTAAATCAGAGGGAGATTATTTGATTTTTTTTGCTTTGTCACAACCAATTAACTCATTTCAAGCATAACTGATTTTATCAAAATCATCGAGAAGATGATTCAATTATAATGACTACCTACGAAATCTAATTAACTTTCTCTTTAACTCAGGGGTAGTATGTAGTTTTAAGATATGAAATCTTTTTTCTTCTTCTTCTTTTTTTTTCTTATCTCGTAAACCAAGGCCTAGTAGCTTTCTATTCAGTATTTATTGCGTAAATTGTTTCGTAACATCGTAACGTCTAATCATAGTAACCATTCCGCAAGTAAGTTTGACTGTATATCTCAGTTTTGTCTAGATATAAGTTTTATTTGTAACATTTGCGGAGCAAATGAAAATAGCCGACACTAAGAAGCCAGGAGAATTGTTAGGATGGGAAGATATGAACAGAATGAAGTACAGCTGGAATGTCATGTGCGAGACCATGAGGTTCAATCCAACTTTTCAGGGAACATTCCGAGAAGTCTTGCACTACAAGAAAATAAGGCTTTTCACCAGTGCTAGTTATATTGTTCCAAAGGGTTTGAAGGTTTGATGATAACTTCTCATTGATCTATTTAATTGTGGCTCTTTTCTTCCTTTTTCTTTGTAGTTGATTCTGGTAAAAGTTATGCTTTTTTTTTCCAAAAATTCATTCACTATTATAGGTGTTTTGGAGTGTGTGCACAACCAACATGAATTCGGCATGTTTTAAGAATCCTGAGAAATTTGATCCGTATACATATGTAGAATATAATGCACAGAGGATAGATAAACTTTGGAATGAGTTACAACATCTAGGATCTCAAGTTAATGGTCCATGGATCATGGCTGGAGATTTTAACTGTATACTCAAACTAGAGGAGAGACTAGGTGGAACAAATGAAGTTAATACTGATAGTAATGACTTCAATCAAATGATAGAAATAAATGAGATATGGGAGTTGCCTACTCATGGTAGTGGATTCACATGGTTAAAGAAGCAAAGGGGGGATAGGAGAATTGTTTCAAAGTTGGATAGAACTCTAATCAATGAAGTTTGGGTCTGTTCTGCCAACAGGAATCTCACATCATAATGCACTATTGGTAAGGTGGGGAGAAGAAGCAAAATATATGAAAAGGCCATTCAAGTTCTTTAATATGTGGTCACAATATCTGGATTGTAAGAAGATTGTGGAGGAAGTATGGAAATAGGAGATTAATGGTACATACCAGTTCAGATTAGCACAAAGACAAAAATTGCTAAAGCATGTTCTGAGAGAATTATACAAGAAACAATTCTCATGTATTGAGAAACATGAGCAGGAATGTAAACTTAGGTTGAGTCTCATACAGAAAAAATTGCAAATTAGTCCACTAGATGAAGAATTGCAGCAAGAAGAAAAGGTGGTCACTGAGGAATATCTCAACAAGAGTAAAGCAGTAATGAGTTATTGGTCTCATAAGTTGAAGGAGAAATGGATCAATGA